ATAAAAGTTTAGATCATTTCAATATGATAGTTTCCACTTGAAATTCAACATTTGAAGTTTAATCGGAAATGTTGATAATTTACCTCAGTTCATTCTGTTAATTGTGTAACCGATGATAATACCGTTGCTTTCCAGAGGTTCTTGTATTGTCAATGTCAACTGATAAGCATGGATATCAGATATTATTGGCGGCAACATGCCCTATAATAAAACACACAATGTTAGATTAATAATTTTTACAGCAAATATATTCATAGTATCATAGTTTAATAGTACTGGTATATTTATGAACTTATTGAAATAAAATGTTCCTATAATTCAAATTTATAACATTAACATTAACATTAAGACATTCCAAAATGCAATATTCATTTGTTTAATTTCTTAACGTACATATTTTGAAAAACACAGCACATAAAAACACAAATAAAAGTGAAAATATAGATATGTAAAAAATGTAAAAATGACAGTTACCTCTGGAGGTGCATCAGGCATCTTGATTCGTGACCATGAACTTGGAGCTCTACCAATGCTATTGTACGAGATGACCTGATATTCATACTCATAGCTTGGCTGTAATGATGGATCCATATCATTATATTCCAGGTCAGTTGTATTGACAACCGAGACAAGACCATTTGTATGTCCTGTGTATGTCTCATAGTGTCTACGCTTCAGTTCATAGCCAAGAATAACACCATTCGGTTGTTGTGGCAGATACCATTTAACGTGAACGCCATTGTCAAGTGGCGATAATAACGGTGATCCTTGGTCCGTAGGTTCATCTTGGAGTGTGTACACCATTTCTCTGTCACTAAATGCACATCCTAATTCAGTGCAAGCTTGAAGACGGAATTCATATTCTGTGTACGGCGCTAAACCATAAACAACTTTACTGTACTCTAGAGCTGAGAACACCAATTCTTGGTCAACATATAAGTTATATTCAATAATTTCACCATTTGGAAACAAAGGCTGAGACCATGATGCCCGTATGGATTCCGAAGACTCTGCTACAACACTGTCTAATTGTACACCATCAGGACTTGATTGATCAGTGCTTGCCCTTGCTGGTGGGCTGACTGCACTGCCTTCATTATTGAAAGCTGTAACGACATATGCATACTCCCGTCCCGGTGTGAGCCCCCTCCCATTTTCTCCAAAGTCCTGATACCGTATTCCTTGGCCTTGATAAATCAACTGACTGTCACGTCTGAGTTCATACAAGTTGATTTCACCATTGGGATTCAAAGGTTCACTCCATGTGATTTCAATCGCCCGTGCACTGATCACCAATAACAACGGTGCCTCCATATTCTCTGGTGGTGCTTCCAGCGGTCGTCCAAAGACAGGTTCACTCCTTGAACATCCACCACTTGTACATGCAACCAAGACAAACTCGTACTCCTGATACGGTGTCAATTCCATGATTAATGTCTGAAGTGACAATCCGGTGTATCGTAATTCTCCATCCACTTCGATTTCATAGCGACTAATTTCACCAAAACTGATTGGTGGTTTGGTCCACTTCACCTGAATGGCCGTAGAACTGTACGGTGTAAGCTCCGGTGGAGAAACAACACCAGGTGAAGACTCCAATGTTGTCACTATGGTTGGATTGCTAGTGGTACAACCACCAGAATTGCATGCTGTAACAGTGTACATATATACCGTGTAAGCTTGAAGATTAGTGTCAATGAACTCCTTAGGAGCGTCAGTAGGAAAGCTAAATGGTGTACTGGTGTTTCTTTGTATTAAGTATGGTTGGAGAATTCCGTTACTCTGTGCAGGCGCTGACCAGCTCACTTTCAGTTTTGTTGGATAATTGGTAACGTACTCAACCCGTGGTGGATCAACACCGCTTGGAGGTGCTTGGCCTGTTTCCATAACAACCCAATCACTGTCGGTAAATCCTTTTGAATTGACTGCTCGTATCTTGTACTCATAGTGTGTGTATGGTTGTAAATTTGAATCCAGATAGCTATAATCTTCCGACTCTGTGTCAAATTCAGAATACACAACCCGACTATCTGTGTATACAGGATCATCTATAGCTCTTTTCTTTCTTAACTGTATCGCTACCGATCGCCTTACAATATCATACCTTATAATGGCACCATTTGGATCAATTGGTGGTTTCCACTGCAGCTCCACTGCTGTCGCATTTGTGAACCCAAGAGTTGGTGCAGGTTGATTGGCAGGAGGAACTTCAGCTGTTGTAATAACCTGTTGCTCCCCTCTGGAACATCCCATATTAGTACATGCTTCTAAAACCAGTGTGTAATCTGTGAAAGGTTCTAAGCGTCTGAAAAGATACTCTTGATTCAGTCCGACGTAAATAGAAACCATCTGCCCAGCTGTATCCACTTCATATATCTTGTACTCAGTGATATCACCATTAGGAGATGTCGGTTCATTCCATTTCAATAATACAGATCTACCGTCTGTCATCTGTTCCACAATGAATGATTGAATGCCAGATGGCACTCCTTCCAGTGTTGTTACCTCCGCCCATGTTCCACTACCCTCACCAGCCGAGTTCATTGCTACAATACGTACTTTGTATTTGGTGAATGGGACCAGACCATAAAATGGCGCTTCTAAGGTCTCACCATCAACAGTAGCCACTCTGATAATAGGAGACTCCAAAGTTGGATCATATATAATCCTCTGATATTCAATGCTATATGCAACAATGACACCATTAGGGAATAGCGGTTCACTCCAAGTTGCAAGAATTGAAAATGAACTCAGTGCCTGTAGGTTAGGTGGTCCCATTCCAGATGGTGGTGATTCTAGCGTTTTCCCTTGGGCCCAACCACTGTCAACAGATCCTTGTGAATTCTCTGCTCTAATCTTGTATTCATACATGGTAAATGCTTCCAGGTTTGGACTCGCATCAAGGAAAGACAATACATCACCATCCACAATATTGATTAAAAGTTCCTGTCCTGTACCGTAAAGTCGTCTTAATATATAATATTTAGTAATATCACCATTTGGGTGAACTGGTGGGTCCCACGTCAGCTCCATCAGAGCGGAACCTAGAGCTTTTACTGTTGGAGGTAGTTGCTGCAATGGTGGCGATTCCAGTGTCTGGACAATAACTGTGGCTCCCACTCCACAACCACTTACTAAGCAAACCTGGACACGCACATCATATTGAGTATATGGCAAAAGACCATCAACAGTAACCTGTAGGTTTAAACCGGCGTACTTTATGAACTGATCAGGTCTACCACTCCATATCATCACTCCATATTGAATAATCTGACCATACGGGTAAACAGGTGGATCCCATTGAGCAGTAATCTGTGTAGAGCTGTCTACAGTAACTCTAGGTATCGGTATTCCCATAGGTGTACTGCTGGGAGTAGTCACAATATAATCCACACTCTTTGTAGTACCAGCAATCGTAGATGCTTCAATAGCATACAAGTATCTGGTATTCGGTGAGAGACCAACATCAGAATACATCAGGTTTAGACCATTGTAGATATCAACGCCATCACGAAACAAACGATAGTTGATGATCTCACCGTTTGGTTTTGTCGGCTCATACCAGTAGATCTCCAGTGTTGTGGCACTAACAACAACATGTGTTGGTGGTTCAACGCCTAATAAACAATCAACAAGGAACAAAAATCAGTATAGTTGAAAATATTGGTTAAAGTTAGTACAGATTTAGTACAACAGATATAGTGAAAGATTACACATTATTGGAACACTAATACAAATGTGAGATTAACTCAACTATATGCCAGTAATTTATATATTATAGCATTTGTGATTAGTCAATGTTTTATATTGGCTGACCCCTGGCCATCTCTGCCCAACATGTTGTAAAGATAAATCCCAATAATCTTGGGTTCAAACAGGTTGCACAAGCTCTGTACCCTTTATTCATTTCATTATTAAAAGTGTTGTTAAATAGGGTTATATTGTTTTATCATTGTCAGATCATACCTTGAGGTGGCGCTTGTAGCGTGGTCACCGACGCTGTATCACTTGATGTACAACCAATCACAGTACAAGCAGTAACGCTGAAACTGTATTCAGTATATGCGTCAAGACCTACGAGACAAATGTAGAGGATGAAATAAATACACAATATTATATATTGGCAATGGTTACAAAAGTTTAAGAAGGAATAAAAGGTTACAAAACAGTAAATAGAAAAACAAAAACAATCTAAGCTAATACATTACAGATAATAGCAAGTATAAAATTATGATACTACGATAGATAGAAAACAAAATGCAAAACTCAAATAGTGAAAGAAGGTTGTCACCGGGGTTGCTGTCTTATTTCAAAACACTTCTTTAGGTACCTTGCTACGGGGAGTGTTAGGCCACTGTTGTTTAGCAAGGTTATGAATTGTGTCTTTGGTGGCAAATTTTTAAAGTTTTGGATTTTGGTTTTTACCATTTCAAATAGGACATTTCTTTCGGGGGTATATCTTTTACATGACATCATGAGGTGATACTCATCTTCTACTTCATTTTGATCACAAAGGCTGCATAATCTATTAGCAAGGGGTATTCCTTTGTGTCTGCCAGTCTCAATTTTCAAGTTATGGTCACTGAGGCGGAATTTAGTTAAATTTTTGCACATCTCAATGTTTTTCAGGGTAACAAGGTATGTTTCGAAAGCAAAATTGTTTTTTTTTTAATTCTCTGTATGTTCTTAATTTTTTTTTTTTATTTTGTTTTGATCGATTGTCATTATGTAATTAACTTTTCCAAGTTGATATGAATGATGTTTGTATATTTTTGTTGATTTGTCCTAATTGCCTTGCTGTTAGAGTTTCATCGCTGTCGATCAGGTAAGACTGGTTGATGTTATTTAAAAGGGAATCTATATTGGTGTACCATTTACTATTAATTTCTTTATTTTCTTGGAAAGCTAGTTTTAGTAATGGATTTGACGAGTTCTTTATACGATTAAAATATTTTATCATTTGTTTTTTTCGATAAAAGTCTCTAATGGGTAACGTCCAAGTTCGCCGTATAAACCCATTGTTGTAATGTTTTTGGATGTACCCAAAAGAAAACGAAGATAATTTATATGTACATCTTCAATTGGTGATTTTGGTGAAATTTCATCTCCCCATACATCACTACCATATATGAGAATTGGTCTAATTAGTTTATCAAACAGAGAGAGTGACAGTGGTATACTTAGATTTTTGCCTGTTTTTCCCTTTAAGGAGAATGTTTCAGCAGCAGTCTTAACAACTAAGCATGGAAGCAATATTTTTGCTAAACACAGTAACATTTGTATATCTCTTATAAATATTTCATGTATTGACACTTATCTTCAAAAAAACACAAAAGGTTAAAATATTGATAACAAGAAAATAGTTGAGGTAAAAGTAAATTAGGAACAGAGAACACATACCTGTGTACGTATAACTAAAACTACTAGTATCTGATAAATAAATCGGTGCTGTATATCCCTCACGATATATTTGATATTGTGTAATGACACCATTAGGTTGACCCGGTATCTGCCAAGTTATAACAATGCTAGTTGAACTGATAGCATTTAGCCCCGGGGCAAAAACATCAGCTGGCGGGGCTTCAAGTGTAGCAGCGGTGACCTTCAAAACAAAACAAAACAGAGAGTTTCAGAGAATTTCAATCATCAGTGTGAATATTAAAATTAATAGCATTTCACAATTTATGATACGATTCTCACTACGATTACTTACTGGCTGACTGTCTGTACACCCTTGATATGTGCACACACGTAGCACATACTGGTAGTCTTCATACGGCTGAATAGCACTGGTATCTGTGTAACTCATATCCATACCACGATACACTTCAATATTATCTCGTATCAACATATAACTTGTAATTTGACCTAAAAATATATATCAGGGTTATGAGATATAAATTTATAAGTATGTTACACACAGTTTGTTATAGAACTGAAATAAGTAAATGTACAAGTACATATGTACATCAAAACATTAAACAGTGAACACCGAAATAAAACGATGACGAAAACCAATATATCCCTATTTTTCTTCTAACATTGGAATAATCCATAGAGCATTTCTAGGAGTGTTTGTTTTAATATTGGTACTTTCGATAACAACAAATCAACGCTTCTAGACACTTCCCTGAGTTTGTAATGGACAGTAATTTACCCATGTTAAAACTACATGCTACTTAGAGAAGGTAAAGTCAGTAATGGCTGTAGATATGGCTGAACATCATTATAGACAATGTTTGAATAGCGTCATATTTAAAGTACAACTGTGGTTTATAATCAATATTGCAGATGGTGCTTTGTGGATGGTTGATTTCATGGGCATTATGTTTCTCTGTGGTGGACTATCTTCCATCCACCAATGTTTTTTATGTTGTTGATTGTTTACAACAATAGACTAATTTCGACTAATTTGTAGACAATACATAACTAGAATACAGTAAAAAACACTTACACTCAAACACAGTAGGTGAATAAAAACATTTTGAGCAAAGAATTATTCTACGCTTGAATCCAATAATACATAAAACTAAAAATATAAAACTAAAAGCACATACTTTTAGTTCAAAAGGGCAAGTATATGCTCACTTACCATTAGGTGATGAAGGTGCTACCCATGACAGGTATATAGTGTCTAACTGTCCCGGTCTAACACTCCATTGGGGTGGCAGTACACCATCTGGCGTGGACTCCTCGGTTGTGGCTCTACTGTATTCACTTGTTACACTTCCTATAGTGTTGGTAGCCATGATGGCATACTCATAGGTGGTAAATGCAGATAATCCATCATCTGGGTTGGCAGAGAAATGCATTAGAATTTGTTAATACTGTCTTCAATAAAACCCATTAACCTTAAATACAAGAATGCTGACATGTGTATGTCAATGTATTACGACCGTAAAGTCTGTATTAGAAGCCGCATCCCTAATAGAAGTCGCACCCATTCTTTTTAAACAATTGGGAACCAAAAAATCATCATTTCTCATATGTGTAGATGCTCTAATAGAAGCCGCACCCCCTCTATTGGATTGTACCATTTTAATAGAAGCCGCGGTTTCTAATACAGATTTTACAGTACTACATTTATGTTCTAATGACCACAATGGCCAGCAACAAATGCACAATAAATTATTATTTTCTGACTTTCTTACCTATATAAGTGAATGTATTAATGTCAGCAGAATAAACCAACTGTGCTGTGGTCGCACATAAATCATTCCCACCAATGCCTGGATCAATTGGAAGGACTTGTTCATAATACCCCGAGACTGAGCCACAGATGTAATTATTACGATCAAAGTCACACATGTCACAGTACGAGCTCGTTGCATACATGATTGGACAGACCACGCCTGTACCGCATTCCTGGGCACCAAGTGTGCCCTTATCAGCACAGACTTCTTCTGATGGATTGTATCCAGCATTGTTACAGCACTGTTGAGTTACTGAGATCTTTTCCAGACCACAGCATTTCTCATTAGATGCAAGCTTCTCTGTAAGACTGCTGTATGAATGAGCCTGTGAATAAGAACAAAGTGTTCCAATACAATATACAAGACAGAGTACGCGTACAGTTTGCATCACTTGTCAAGCAATAAACTGAATTCCAGCCAGTCCATTTGTTTATTGCCAATTAATTACACTACGCATCTGACTCCCCAGACACCTGCATGTTTCTCTCGAGGAGTTTCTGTACCTCAGCATGAAAAAATAGGCCAAACTAAATTATCTACCTGTGTTACCTGGAACCCCAGGAGGTGTCATGAACCCTTTTGGGTAGACTGGCTGACACCAAGTCAAACCCCCTTTATCTAATTTGACAAATTTCTAACTTAAACAATAGTTGTAGTAATTGAAACTATTGATACATACAATAACGAACAAAAGAAACTCTAAGCAAAATTATAAGGTACAACTCAAGCACAACATCCTGGTCCTGGGCCAGCCTGGCTAGCTAACTCATCATTTCCAAAATACTGACAATATTCATAACCCACATGATATGCCTTTGTTCCTACCTGACTATTGCCAGTTTCATCTTCACAGCAAAGTGTAGTGGATTGCTCCACATAACCAGTACCACAGCATTGCTTGGTGTTATCCGGTGCATAGGCCGATCCACTAACAGTGTCTTCACAGCAAACCATGGTGTCACTCACAACAGAGTCACCACAACACTGTGAGTTGTAACCATCATAGAACATACCTAGAAATCAATGAGAGGTTTATTGTAGTGTCTGATAATTTCAAAAACAAACCACATTTTCAACATTTTACTGTAATTTGATATTAATTCCTTGCCAAATACATGTGCTTTCCCATTCCCTGCATGTCTTGATCAAAATAAAAAAAAATACATGGGTTTATTTAGTAAAAGGCAACATTACATCAGTTGATAGTGGAGTTCAAAGGTTAATTACAGTATTTGCATAGAAAATGCCAGGTAAAAATATTTTAAATATTCACTGTATCTGTGATAACATTGACCATTACAACAATACAGGAAATGAAATTATTCTAACCTCTACAGCAAATCTGAGGACCATCACTAGTATATGGAATTCCTCCACAGCATGCATCACCATAACCAACTATAGCTCTATTCTCATTGGTGTCAATGCAACATATCTGTCCTGGAAGTACAGCTAGGTACTGTCCATTACAACACTGGTATCCGGCTTGAAAGCTATGAAACTGTCCTCCACAGCAAATATCAGATCCACTATTCCTCATGGGAATGTAGTTATCATTACAGCATTCATAGTTACTTCGGTATTCGTAAATGTTAGAATTACAACATGCCTGCAAAAATGAAATAAAAAAAAGTTTAACACAGCCATTTGCACTCATTGGCCTTAGTTGCATCTAGCATTACTGTTCCAAAGCAGATAAATTTGTTTTATCTCCGGTCGGAGATGGTATGCTTAAAGCCAATAAAATACAGTTACTGTAATTAAATGCAGGCCAATGTTTTTTTTTGGTGGACAATTTTTTTTCAATTTTGAAAACATTCAGATTCACATCATAGTTATGGTATACAAGTAATTCTGTAAATACTGTCATAACGATGGAGAGAGTAAACAAGTACACAACCTACCTTATTACCAGAATAACATGTGGTGCCACATAAACTCTCTGTAATTCGACACTGCACATAAGAACAACTATTACTGTCTGAAATATCTGGTGTCTGGGGTCTGTGAAGAAAAGTGTAACAAATCAATATTTAAAATTCAAATCAAGTTTCCCTCTGAAACAAGCACTGTACCTTCAAGTGTATTATCTCATATGATGTAATCAGCCAAGCTTTTATGCAAATTTTGCCAGACATAAAGAAAAATAGTACAATTCCTTCACCAAATTTGCTTGTTTTAGGAAATTTTCACGTTATGTATAAAGGATCATTTAATTACAACTCATTTTTATTATAGAGACACTGTTATTTACGTAGACAAATAAGGTTCCAAGAGTATACATATAACTCCTTTAGTTACACAATGCTCAAGTCAATACTAATAGAGAGAAATTCATGCAACATGGGTCGAGATACTTCTCAAAATGGATATGAAATATACAAAATGTCAGATTTACCGACAAATCGATCTATACTTACTCTGTATTACATGCAACTAAAGTTCTTCTATATATATCATAGCCTTGAAGTACACCATTTGACTGTGATGGTGGCAGCCAATCAACAGCAATAGAGATTGAACCTAGAACACGTAGATTGGGTGGGTCTACTCCATTAGGTGATGCTTCCTGTGTGGTTGCCTTGGTTACATCACTCATATAACATCCAAATGAAGTACACACTTCCACCTGAATAAATGTGAAAATGCATAGAAAGCTCTTAACGTTTCATGATGTTGTTTTAGTATTCTCATCTTTTTATCATCTTTTAACATTTTAATTTTGATCACACTTGGTGTTACTATGTACACATGTCAACACGTACCTTAACATCATACACTGTATACGGTTGTAAATTGGTTACTACATAGGATGTAATAACACTATCCACAGTATCAATTATCACATCATCAACATAAACTGTATAGTTCAATATATCACCATTGGGACTCTCTGGTGGTTGCCAGGATACACGAAATGCTGTACTATTAATAGCATACACGTTGGGTGGAGAAAACCCTTCTGGAGCTGCAAGAAAATAAAAACAGTGATAAACACGGCACATACAGCACACAAATTACAAAGATTCTGAATATTCAGAAAAACTTAATGAGCAGATATACCTCTCCTAAATTTGTTAACTGATAACCACAAGAAGAACTCACAAATAGAGAGTATTCTTCAACAGCAACCATATTCATTGCATGGGACCGCCATGTTGTAACACTATGTCATATTAAAATACTATCCTGGTAGCAACACAAAACTGACAATGCTTTGGCTATGCTATGTGAATCCATGGCAGACTCATCATTGGTGTGTGAGGCTCTTTTTTTGGTACTCATTCCTAGTTTGGAATTCAACTCAAAAATAATACAGTAATGTCATCTTATAACAATTACCTACAACATGCAGAAACAAATTGAAAGACACTATTGTACAAACCTCCAAATAACGTCCGAGCAAACGCTGATGGACTGGTGATATTATAAGCACCATTATCAATGATTTGTTTGAATTCATACAATGTGTTTGGAGTAAGACCAACCAATGTAGCACTCTCCACACCAGCTGGATAGGTGGCATAAAGAATAACGCCGGGCGTCTTACTGTACGATATGATGTATTCAACAACGTTGCCTTGTAATTCAGTTAGACCTGCAAACAAATAAAGTAATGTCAGAAAACATCCTTTTTACAATCAGGGTTCCTTCTAAGCTGTAATTTCATAATGTTCTCAGTAAGGTTCCTAGTTTTCTTAGCATAAAAATTGGACACTCTGTGAAATATGTTCCTTTTAATTTTATGAATTTTGTATTCAAATAGACCTATTTCAAGAAGTGTTTTTACTGAAAACTCAGACTTCATTGTCATTTTTAATACATATAAATAAATATGCATGAAAATATGAACAAGCTGCTCAAACATTTTGAATAGAAGAGAGGGGGTCTAGAGAGAAAACGTTTTTTTGAAACTGACTTCTCTGGAATCACAAAATATCAAACAGAATTTAAAGCAAAATTTAACACTTAAAAACTTCCGAGCCTCCTAGATTATGAATGGTACACTCCAAACAAGTTACACATGTTAAACACCATATACATGTGACCTATTAGAGGATGGTGATCACTGTGACCACGTGTATTTGATATGAATCCCATACTATGCACAGTAACCTGTATGCACAAGTTTATAATAAACTTATTAAACAAAATCCAAACTTACTTGGTGTTGTCCACTCCAAAAATACCGATGTATGGTCAATGGTCGTAGCAGACAATGTACCAGAAGCTGTTGGTTGACCAGCTAGTGTGGTCACTTCATCTGATGGGTCAGATGTCAACTGCCCAACAGTGTTGTAAACAGTCACTCTGTACTGGTATGTAGTGAATAATGGCAGACCTAAATCTTGGAATGAAGTCTGTGTTCCTGAGTATACCAATTCCCAGAATCCAAGTCCAAGTATAGGATCTATACAAATACAACACATATATAAAACTAATCAAAACACGCAAAATAGTTCAGGATTTATTCCAAAATTTTCTTTTTTTAATTTTCTTCAAATGATTTGATCCTCTGACAGATGTATTGGTGAGTTCAGGCACACATTTATTAACAATGGATGCTCATAGCTCTATTTTGGGCCTATGGTTTTGTTTTAAGAAATGTCTGTCACTATGACAAAGTTACATCACAACATCAAATTTAGTTATGATACACGTCAACATATACATGTTTTAGCATTAGTATGTGTATATGTATGTAAAATATTATGTATTTAATATTTTTTAGTAAGATAAATGAAAGTAAAAATGCCTAAAGCCGATAGAGGATGTGATTTGCGAAGCAAAGGAGAGAGATAGTAATGGCAGCTTTTTGAATGTTGTTATGTGGATGTGTTTTGATGTCAGTAAAAGAAATTTATAAGATTTATGCATGATGGCCCATCTTTCACTGTTATGTGTTATTTGACTGTCCTGTTAACATTTTGAATATTTCTTGTATAAAATATGGTGTTTTTATACTGTGTATGCATGGTTGGTTGTATTTTGTTGAATTCATGTGTTAAGGTGGTTTCTTGATCTTAAAGGGGTATTTGTTTTTTATTGCGAATCCAAAGTGTGGTATTTTTGAATTGATCATCTTGTGACAGTATCAACTAAGTAATTTAAATTAAAACTATAACTTCCTACACAAAGTCTTTGCAATTTGAAAGCAACGGGGCTATTGCTATTGAATACTGCTATATGACTTGGATAACAGTGAAATTACAATAAACACTATAATAATTCTGATTTTACTATTTACCTGTAGACAACGGTTGTCTGATCTTCATTCTAGATAATTCATATCTGATATTATCACCATTAGGTCGATTTGGGGGCGTCCAAACAACAGCTATGTAATTCTGGGTTATTGCCGTGGCTACAGGTTCATCTAATCCTTCAGGAAGATCACTGTCCGTTGTTATGACAACAGAGTTGCTCTCAGTACATCCCCCACCAGTGCATGCTTGGACAGTAACTGTGGATCACAGAGAAAACACAAATAATGTTATCATTTGATCAATGTTCATCTCAATTATATATCATATCAGTACAATGTGGTTGTATCAAATACTAGCAATGTCAGATATTCTTACCTGTGTATTGCGTATACGGTACCAAATCTTCTACAATAATTTCAGTAACAGTCACATTTTCAATCAGAATCCTGGGGTTCGGCATCTTGACAGTGTAACTAACGATCTCGCCATTGGGTTGGGCAGGTGGTTGCCAAGCAACACGAATGGATGTGGAACTAAGAATTTCAACAATTGGCGTAGCAAGACCAGAAGGTTCTGTACAGACAATAATAGATGTTTTATTAATTATTTTTAATAATTGACATTTCTTCAAATATATCTATTATAAATCATTAATAGAACACTGAAGACTCAAAGAATAAGAGTTTTTACATGCACAATAGATACAATCATTTTGATAGCCCCACCTCCACATGAAAAGAGACTTTTCCCAAGATACACAGCAATACAACCTCATAGTACAATCTGATTTATTTTTTAATTTTGATCAAACATACATGGAATATAATGTACTGACGATTGCGGCATATAAATATTTCTAACTAATGTAATCACAACAGACTTGGAAATGGTCACTTACGAGCCTGTTTCGTTGTAATCTGCGACCACTCACTGGAAGTGCTACCTGCACTGTTCTTTACAATGACTCTGTATTCGTACGTTGTGAAAGGAGCAATGGACGACTGATCGACATAGGCAAGCTGTGCCGAAGCATCAACGATGATGACAGTTGTTATCGTGTTAGATCCCTGGAGGCGACGTTCAAGTTCATAGCTTTGGAGCACACCATTTGGATATTGTGGGGGTGACCAGCTTATTAGAATAGAGGTAGGTGTTTCTGAAAACAGGGTGGGTGCTGCTATTCCACTTGGTGCTAAGAAAGTGAAAACATGTGAATGAAAGCTCAAATTAACTTTTCATTTTGTTTACTTATAAATAAAACATGTATTATGAAAACAATATGTTCACAGTGATGTCAGTTTTCAAAATTAAAATTGATTTTATATACTAGACTGTGGTGTCACAAAATATTACAGGAGTTAACAGTTCAGTCTTCAGTAGTATCCGGATAGCAGATTTTTTTCCCATCTGTGCAATGATTGTCACAACAATGGTTGTCACAGCAAAATTGATAATATGAATAAATCTGACTTGTTTGTACATACCTGCAGCATTTGTGGTATAGGTTAATGAGTTATCGCTTGCAGTACATCCCGCTGAGTTACACACCTCTACCTTGAAATAATAAGCAGTATTTGCAACCAAATCATCCAGTGTATAGCTGACAGTATCACCAGGTAACTAGAAGATTAGAACAATGAAATAACAATAGGTCAGGATGTATGTGTGTATCAGTATATGAACTCACAATATGAGGGGATAGGGAGGTGATGCTCATTATACTTACAGTGATTCTCAGCAGGTCGTTTTGATATAATTTAACTTCAATTATTTCACCGTTTGGTTCTGCAGGTTCTTCCCATGACACTATCATTGAGGTCGGACCAAGTATTGTCGCCATTGGAGGATCAATTGGACCTGGACCTACAAACAGAAAAACAGTTTTTTTTGTCAGAATAGTAGAAAGAAAGTAAACACTGACAAAAAAAATTTAAAACGTTGAAATTGACAGTGACATAAAAAAATAAAAAGAAACTTACTATCTTCATTGGTAACCGTGGATACCCATTCACTGTGTGTGGATCCAATGCTGTTGCTGGCAATAAGTTTGAATTCATACTCAATAAAGGAAGTCAAACCAGTCAGAGTGTAGCTTGTAGAACTGATAGGAAAGCTGAACAAACTGTGAAAGAAATATGAAACGTGTAGTCATTTATGACAGCGCCACCTAGAGTTAACTGACATTTTTCTAATACTAACTATAAAACCCACATTTGCTTGGTAAGGTTTTGGTATGCATTAAAACGCTTCAATTAAGTATGTGTCAGAATCACATTAACTTTCATGAAATTGAAAACCAAGTGAAAATCCTTAACTCTTGTAATCATGAATATGTTTTTTGTTTTGCATTGTTTTTTTTAATGAGTTTTAACAATCCATCCATATCAAGCAGTACATCACATTACAAATGTACTTGTATCTCAATAAATCATGACTAATACATACTTTTGTTCTAGTTGTGGTTGTTGTGCTGGTCTATATACAACCTGGTATACTGACTGTCCTGGAGCGTTATTTCTTGCAGGTGCTTGCCATGTGACCTGGATAGATGTGGGGCTCAGTGGTGTAAGATTTGGTGGCAGAACACCATCAGGAGCTGTCAGATAATTGAAAGTTTTTTGAATCAGAACTACACAGATATAACAATAATATATACTGCAGAATTATAAAAAAAACAAAGATTAAGGCATGACAGATAATATATACATCAATCATTTTTGTGGTAAAACAATCAAGCAGATTGTATCAAGCAGAAAGTAATAATTTCACTTTGTGGGCTAATTCTACTAAAAAATGAGAAACTGTTGTTTTGGAAAAAGTCTGGGTACTTGACACTTATGAATATTAATGAGCTAATAATGAATATTAATGCGCTTGGTCACACACGCAAACACTTTTTTTCATTCAAGGCAAAATATTATTTGTTTATTTTTCACATATTTATTAAATTAAGATATGAAATCCAAAAAATATGTCAACAATGATATCAGTGAAAATGATATCAGTGAGGTATAAAATATTTCATAGTAAAAAAAGTATGTTTTTCATACTGATGTTATGACCTTTGACCTACCTGCAGCAGGCATGTTGAATGATTGTACATTACTCATCAACATCCCCATAGTGTTAGATGCCTTCACTTGTGCATTATAATTTGTAAATGGGACTACTCCAGTTATAACTATATCAGTTTCAGCTTCTGTGCCATTGTACAGAATTCTGGTGTCTTGTTCTATGGTATAGTCACCAGTATCTAAAACAATACAACAAACAAGCATTTGAGACAAATTTCACTAGTCACAGAAAATCATGATAATTTGAAGCAGTAAAATATTTCTGAGATTCTACAAAATGAAGTGACATTCACAAAATGTTGAATTCACAAATGCCCCACAATCCTAATATTGTAAAAATTTCACGGTTTACAGTATCTATACCATGCAGTAGTTAGAAATTAGGTAATTATTATAGATGTATATAAACCTAAAACTAATTTGATCATTACATTGTGTTAGAGTACATATGTACCAAGATTCATTGAATTAAGATAAGTACTGTCACAGACAGTCTATGTACGAAGTTTTATTGAAATGTGATTAGAACCAAAAATTATGATTATTATCATTATTATTAAAATTATTATGCAAATTAGGAAATTAATATGATCTGATTTTAATTCAAAACTGAGCGGGTCTGTGCATTGTTCTGGAGCATCAAAGTACCTAGTTTCATTGAAATGGAATAAAAAATAGTACATGTGATATCAATGTAAAAGACAAAAATTAACTAATTATGCAAATTAGTTGATTAATATGCACACATCTTTACTTAAAATTAATCAGGTCTGTGGATTGTTCTAGAGCATCTATGTACCAAGTATCATCAAAATCTAATGAATTGCTCTATCAGATATCAGTGAAACAGTCAAAGAACAGCTAAAAATTAGCTAATTATCATGCAAATCAGGTAATCAACCAAAACCTAATCAAATCTGCACATTAGTGCAGAGCATCTACACACCAAGTTTCATTAAATATCAACATATGGTTCTTGAGATATCCGTGGAACAGACAGACAGACACACACACACACACACATACAGACAGGGTAACTGCAAAGACTCTCATTGTGTGTTTCGAGAAGAAGAGAAGAAAGCACAGACTTACCTGGAGATACATAGAATATACCAGTAAACATGGCCTCATATATGATCCTTCCATTTGGCTGGCTTGGTGACGTCCAGTAAGCACTGACACTATAGGCATCGATGACGTTCACTTGGAATGTAATATCTCCAACAGGTGGGGACTCCTGAGTACGGGCCTCAGTTGCGGAGCCGACAGTACATCCTGATGTTGTACACGCCTCAACGCGGAAAGTGTGTAAACTCCATGGAGTTAAACCCAAGACTGTATATGTCGTTAACAGACCTGTTTGTATGACTATTCCATTCTGGTATAGGGAGTAGCTGGTTATTACTCCTAAGAGATAAACAGTAAATGACAGCATTAGAAAAAGTTTTTAAAAAAATTCCACAACTAAATTTTGTCTCCCTGTAAACATTTTATCACCATATTTTTATAATTTATTGGCTTCTAAAATTTAGACCGGGTACAGAATGGTTATCCAAGATTGTGTTCATCTCAAATTTCTCTTGAGTTTTTGATTATTATGAGAGCAAACACTGTTGAATGATGTTATGTTTTGCATAGTGACTCAAAATATCTCACCAAAGGTCATCTAGACATACAAACAAACATAAATTACTTTTTTAAGGTTTTAACAGCATTTTCTTGGTTTACTATATATGTAGACAACATTCACTGTATATTTCAGTCAAATTTCAGTTGGGTGAACAACAGTAGTCATATTTACCATTTGGCTGATCTGGTTGAGTCCAGCTAACATAGAGAGAATAGGGCGACAATGCTATTACAGAAGGTGCTGGCACCCCCTGTGGAGGATCTTCATGTGTAGTTGCTATGCTTGCACTGCTGGTGATGCAACCACCTCCATTGCATGCCTGTTGAAAAATAAATAATGTTTTGTACTGAATATTTTGAAAATTGTTCAGTTTACTATATTCCTTAAAATTATCATTCCTCCAAACAACCACATAATAAAATAAAATTAATATTAACAATGGCAGAAAATGAGCAGAATGTTCATGCTGAATCAAACTTCATACAATGTGTCATCATCATGTGTCCAATAACAACAAGATGTGTACAACGGCTGTGTGTATCAAGCATTGCAAGTCTGATCCTGATGTATACAAAGATGATGTTGACTTAATCAAGACTAAACACCATAAGTCCCAATGGACACTTATTTTGTTCCTAAGTGTATTTGACTTTGATACAATTGAAAACATTGAGTAACATGTTCACAACATGACATATATAGTGTACGGATGAGAAATACCCCCAACGCCATAACAAAGTAAAATACCAGTCAAACAAAATATTTTGCAAAATGCAATAATGCATTATTTTCATGCTAATTGTTTTTGATTACGTGAAAATAAAACTGCACAAATAATATCTATTAAATTTGCAGTGTTGCAAGTCAGGTGCAATACTGATTATCCATAATATATTCCAGATTAATTTAAAGCAGGAGTGTTACTGATTATCCATAATATATTCCAGATTAATTTAAAGCAGGAGTGTTACTGATTATCCATAATATATTCCAGATTAATTTAAAGCAGGAGTGTCATCCCCTACGCACATGCGGGAATTCCCAAGCGATAACAACATACGCTAAAAATGCAAAGGCTCATGGTAGACGTTTGTTTGTAAACAATGACACGCTATGGCAGTCTGACGCATGTGCAGAAGCTGTGAAGCTACTGGGGTATTACAGCTGTTTTTACAAGTATATGAACTAGTTTTGAGAATGCTGTAAGTGCAACTTCTTTAAACAGGGGAAATATGTTAATACTAGAACCAAAGTCATATGCTGGAAACACTTTATACTGAAAAGAAAAGAAAGCTAACTTACCGCTATTCTAATAAAGTATGTAGTTCCTGGCATGAGGTCATTAAGTGTATATGACGTTATAACAGTAGCTGTAGAGTTATACACAACATCCCCAAATTCACTGGCATCGATGGAAACATAGAGTACATAGTTCTCTAATATACCATTCATTTGGTTCGGTGGATTCCACTCAACTTCAATGGTTCTCGGTCCTTCCACATAAATAGTCGGTGCATCAATTGAGCTGGGTGGTAACTGCCCAGTGGATATGGAGACAACATCACTATCTGTACAGCCAACCACAGTACATGCTAGTGGAATAATATAGTAGTAATGTTAAGAAATTAAAATGCATGAGATATAAAAAGTGACATACTCTTGACATTAAAAACCTTGATTGCCTAATAGTTTTAAATTCCCTGTGTTTTTGAGTACTTTCATCCAATGTTTTACAATGGATTGAAACCAGATTTTACTACAAGTTTTAACTAATTCTGTGATTGGAGTTCCACTTACATATCCACACATTGAACAACCATTGAAACATTTGTAATGTACGGTAATTATTTTACATAAATGAACATATTTGGTGAATACTAAATTCATTGAGACTTGGATATAAAACTAATTTTGTCATAAATGATTCAACAATATCACATACAATACATGATAAAATTACTTACCAGTGAGTTTAAACTGATAACTAGTGAATGTACTGAGACCTGTTTGTGTATAGGTCATAAGGTTACCACTATATATGACAGAATTCTCCATGTATAAAGCATATCCAGTAATGATTCCATTAGGACGATATGGTTCAGACCAACTTAGTTTCAAGGACGTTGACATTTTTTCTGTTGCTACAGGAGGATTAACTCCTTCTGGTTCTGTGGAAAGAAAACAGTTCAGTAATTACTTTACAATCACCAAATTTAAATTTTCCTTCTAAAGATATATCACTTTTTTACATTACGCATCTTACAGAAATGCTTCTCATGTCTGAATAATAATCTGTTAATATTTATATTAAACTCTTCTAATATATTTGTTGTTGTAAGAGTCTCCCTGCTGACTGTCATCATCAGAATTACTGTCCAGAATTTACTGCATGTGAAAATTTAAATATAACTGAATGCAAATTAATGCATGCAAATGATGGCGTATAATTACCGGGTAATACTATTATTTTTAATTTCCACTTATGTAGGATATACATACCTTCCTCACTGGTTTGTATAAACACACTATCACTTTCTGTACATCCACCAGCAGTACAGGCTGTCACAGTCACTCTATAATTTGTATATGGTATAACTCCAGTAATGTTACCTGTGAATAGAATCAGACAATCTTTATAACAGGTTTTGTCTATTAATTAAGCCACATTGTCCAAAGTTTAAATAACAACTCAAAATTATAATTGTTAAGATTAGAATTGAAAATTTCATCCCATTAAATATGAATAACTAATTAATTTACAGATATCAATTTTTAGTATTTCAGAAACAGTTCCGTTAATTATTTAAACTTGGACAACAGAGGTTATATTTTCACCATGGACACTACTGGACTATCAGTGTGCGAGTGTGATCATTACTGACAATGTTTATTCCACAGTATTACTACATCCAGTATTTGGAAGACTTCTGTGTTGTTATTCACCTAACCTTTAACCCCATGAAGTATCAAGAAAAAATTGAGCTATTATGTAGATAGTCAAGACACTTAGAACTGAGAACATAACGGTATTTAAATTTCCAAGTGGGTCATTCCATTTCAGAGGAGGGATTCATGGTTTAAGGTCCTCCTAAGTGTTTTGACTATCTCACCACTGCAGAAAGAAACACCACATCAGAGTCTCAGACTACTGTAATAAAAGAACTAGGTAGAAGAGAAAAGTTGTAGAAATAGAATACCCAAGTACTTATAAATTTAAATTTACAATCTTAACTTAATCAATTTTTACCTGTTCATCACTATTTACCTAAATTAAAAACCAATTAATAATTAATTGTACTTTGACTATAAAGTGCAAATTGAAATGTATAAGTACTTGATTGGTATATCAAGGATCTTTCTAGCTGTGATGACATTTCCTAGTTGAATGTTAGGTTTATTTAAGAATTCAGACAGTTTTGAAGCCACATTATTTTAATTTAAAACATTCACCTTCAAAAAGAAATGGAATCATAACCATGTAAGATATATTTACACTTTGATTCAAGACTTCTACTTTTACTTTTACAGACCATTTTAGGAAGAATTTAAATGACATACACACACATTGAAATGTATGGCATTGTATGAAAGCTTGGCAATTTAGTGGTTCCATTAATTATCAACATATTAAATTAGTTTTCCAATTACAAGCAATAATCATTCCAACTTCTAATACACCCATTCATCTAATGAAGTTATATAACAAGCAACAAACTTATACATCCATATCACCAATTCACATTGTTGAAATTTTGTTGTTGAAATTTACCCATGAAAATATTACTTTTCTAATGGGAATAATTTGGTTATCAAAGATAATTAAATATATATTGTTAAGTATTGTTATTAACACCACATAACAATGCCACATGATGCAGTCTGCATGTGAAATCACATGATGTATGCAATTGTGGTACATGGTGCGTAGTTCATGCATGACCACAGAATGCAGTCCATATATGGTACATGTACATTCCACATATGGCACATGTACATTCCATACATGGCACATGCACATTCCATACATGGCACATGTACATTCTATATATGGCACATGTACATTCCAAATATGGCACATGTACATTCCATATATGGCACATGTACATTCCATATATGGCACATGTACATTCCATATATGGCACATGTACATTCCGTATATGGCACATGTACATTCCATATATGGCACATGTACATTCCATATATGGCACATGTACATTCCATATACGGTGCATGTACATTTCATATATGGTACATGCACATTCCATATATGGCACATGTACAGTCCATATATGGCATGTATTCAAGCCACATATAGTCCATATTTGGCACATGTGCAGTTCATATATGGGACATGTACAGTCCATATATGGTAGTACTTCATCAAACATAAAACCATACCAGACATTCAGTCATGCAATGGAGGCAGAATAGGAAGACTTACCAACAAGAAAAGAACCTAGTATGACAATGGAAAATGGAGCAGGGTGAATTAGTTATAGTGGGAAAAATAACAGGGTTAATATGATGGTAATTGATGACATCATTTATTTGTAAAAAGGATTAATTTTGTTAGTGAACACATTCTTATTGATCAGAAGCAGATGTGTACACCAACAGGGCTAAGAGAGTTGTTCACTTTTTACAATTCACTCAACCATTGGGAACTCCTCTCAAACCAATAAATGAAGGCATCATAAATTTGGAAATAGGACTTGCTAAATAAAGCAAGCAAAAATTGAAAGAGAACTGTAGAAAACTGGAATAAGCTACAAGATAAAGCAGCAGTAGTAATTAAATGACACATCACATCCTGTAGACAGAAAACGGTGACTTCCACCAAACGAATTAGCGTGAATGTCATAAACATGCAACAGTTTAGGAACACAATCACAAGTTAGTACATGTATATCAAAATACAAAAAATCAAATAAGGAAATAAAACTCTGTATTTGTATAACAATTAACATCTCAAAATTGTAGTTGTTTTCTCTCATATTCAATTTCTCAATCAAAACATCTAGAGAGAAACATTTCATTTATCTGTACTGTATTTGCTATATTAAAAGCATATAGTAAGCCAAACATGTTGTCCATTCATACTGCAGTTATGACCATGCCTACAGTTATTCTGACCTTTGAACTTCAGTGTTAACTAAAAATATTAATTATCTTATACTACAATATAGAAGTGTTCAGAAATAGATAATATAACATGTTTCTGGGTGTGTATGTACTTCTAATAGAAGAATTACGTCATAAACATTTCAATAGAAGACAGAAATATCTTTAAATTCACAGAACATAATAAAAAAAAATACAAATTAGTTTGTTCCCATTTATTTAGTAGTACCTGTGAATGAATTGATATAAACAATAAAAAGATAGAATTTATTTTATTTACCAACATATTCCAACTGTGTGGTATCAGTATATACAGCAGTGATTGGGTCTTCTGATGCACTATCTAGATTATATGCTGATAGTATATATTGTGTAATAAGACCTGTATTACCACCTGACTGCTGCCAGCGTACTTCAATGGTGTAACCATCAGGTGATATTGGGTCATTCGGTGCCGAGATACCAGTCGGTGCTATGAAAATAAATATGCAGAGTTAAGTTCCATTATGGAGATAAAAACGCAAGGTTTTCAGAATTTGTTTTCTTAATCAGGAATAGTAGCATTAGTGAAAATGTTCTGTTTGCTAGTAATAATTTTAAACGATAGAACGATCTTTTACTTATAATAAATCTGCAATCTCACATCAGGTAACAGAAATTACCTGGCACTATGTGTAATTTCCATATTATGTAATACTTTCTAAAATCTTACCTCCTTCCAATGTTCTTCCACTGCTCCATTCACTGGTAGCACTTCCTTGGTCATTACTTGATATCACACGGTAAATATATTCTATGAAACAGATCAGACAAAGATATCATGTAATATTGGCTTACAAATACTGTAATGATACACCAAATATGGTTGAAGAGATGATTCATTGTAATTAATCTGCATTTCAGACTAGAGTTGCATCATCTAAGTCACTGAGGCACAATACAAATAAGGAAAACAATGTATACAACTCATTTGCATAACAATATTGCATAAAGATGACCTTCTTACCAGTGTAGACTTGTAATCCTGTGTCATAATATGAATTGGTAACTCCCTGATAGATGGTAGTTATCTGTGGGTCTGTACACGTTGACTGAGATGACACAGTCGGAGGACATCCATCTAAATTCACATTCACTATCTCTGTTACATCCTTCATGAAATCAATGGCAGTTCCACTGTTGATGCGAAGGTTCTTCAGACAGCCACCATAACCTGAGACCAATAAAATGTTTTATGAAAATCAAGACAATATTCATTACAGATCATCATGGTAATAGACTGTGTTGAATTGGTGTGCTCAAGTGAAATTAGATCTCATCAGTCAAACTAATAAGAAAGTGAGTTTAATCACTCCATCAACAAACATGGAAGTTTTGAATGAATAGATAAATGAACTCACCAGACTGCACTGTTATTCCTGCATTACTGAGGATTCTACCTGTATCTGATTGGTCAGACACACCTCCAATGTTGAGACTGGATGATATCTGCAGGTTATCTGTTGTAACTTGATTTGTTTCTGATGCAACATTGAGTACAGTGATTGACAACTGGGTGGTAGTTTTGCTGAATGTTACACTCTGCCATTGTCCATTGCAGAGAGAGTTTGATGAATCCATCAATGCCACAGAAGCTGACACACCAATATCAGTATATATCTGGAACTACAGATTTATTTTAAACATGGAATTATTAGAAACATGGAAATGGCTGGAAATTTTATACATTCTATAAATATTTATGTATTTAATTCTGACAAATATAGCGAAGGCCAGCCAGTGATTACATAGAGTACGATAGTTATTTATCCATATGTGGATTTGCTGTACAATATTTAGGATTAGCTAACCTGCAAGTTGCCATCAATGAGTTGAATCAAGATGTAAGCTCCATTAGTACCAGTTGCAGTTATGAGTAGTCCAGAATTAATTTCAGTTCGGAAATCAAAACTGATGGAAAAACTGAACCCTCCCGTGAAGTAAGTAGATGACAGAACAGCATAACCTGCAAAGACAGCATGAATTAGAATTAACGTTTTCATAATAGAAAACAGTATTTTTGTATTTCATTCTTTTCAAATTATTGGATGCATACATTGGAACATAAAAACAAATTAATTCACCTCTCCCTAGAAACTGAATGCCAGGTTGCAATTGTGCTGGACATCCTTCCATTGTTGGAAATACATGGGAACTTGATACAGCTGTGTTCCAATCCAAATCCTCCCACACCTCAGTGGGCGTGTGCTGTTTCTTGATTCTCACATTGCGCATACACCCAACAAAACCTTGTCGAACCACTTCAGTGTTTCCAGAATCCGATCTGATAATCACAAATTCGTTAGGTAGACCTCCCATGTAGACACCGATTGTTTCTCCAATCACTTGAGATGACGTGGATGATGTGCCAGCACCTGTTAACGGGAGACACACAAGTGAAAACAGTACAAATATACAGAGCAGGTCAACAGATTATTATGGAAAACAAGACATGGAGCACAATAAAAACTGCAATATCATTTGTTTAAAATCACACTAGTAAGCATTACAAACCGGTAATGTAATTAATTATTCACAATGATTTGATTCGTACAACAAAATAGTGAACAAAAACTAAAATAGCAAAAGACAGATTTATAATTGTTGTAGCATTGAAATAATTTCTCCAGGACTTTGTTCAGGCAATAATCTTCTTTAGAATTCGCAAAAAAGCTATGAAAATCACTGCAAAGTAACACAATTTATTTCAAAAATGTCTTCATTGTCAGCAAACGTTGTCCTCATTAGATCTGATTTTAGATTCAAATGCTGTACATTTTATGATTATGTCAGTTTTATTTTTTGTAAGATTTTGTATAACTGTGACACATTTTTTACATGAATTTTTCTACCATTTATTTATTGCAATTTATTGCATTGAATTGATTTGACATCCAACCAGAGCGCAAAACAAATTATGAAAAACACAATCAGACAGATTCAAATGGTTCAGTTTCAGTAATACACTGTACATAAAACTTACCTGTATATTGTTCATCCACTGTGATAGAACCAAAATTTCCATTTCTCAAAACTAATATATGATGCCATTCTCCATCATCATACATTTTACCTGCATCATTGAATGTTGTTATGGCAACAGCTCCACCTTGTGGATCCATCAAAAACCAAGGCCGGCCACTTCTGAGTTGAATCACAATGTACTCTTCTTGTTGCCCGTCAGATACAGCGAATAAAAGCAATGCATCCAGGGGAGCACTGGCAGGACTGGGTCGCTGAGTTCGAAAGTCAAGTTCAATACCTAATAAAATATGTAATTAGAAACAAAATGATTTTACGCAATGATTTAAACACGAGAAAGTATTTTGAAAGAAATAACAAGAAAAGAATCAATGGTGTAATGTTTCTGTGATACAGATCTTTATGTATCACACATAAATTCTCACAATATATTACTTCAAACATTAACAATCCTAGAACATTCACCAAAATAGCACTACACTTACCAGTGTAAGATGAGGATGGTATTGTACCACTTGGAAAGAAATAATATCCACCACCGGGAAAACGTCTCCCTTCTGTAACTCTGGGTGGCGGTATACTAAACGATGCCATAGTTCTCTGTAGTTGATAACTAGGTGCTGGTCCATTCAATAAAGATGGAGGTATCCAACTGATGTACATTGTGGTAGAATTGTAACCTTCTACAGATGGTGAATTCTGATTTGATGGAGCTGAATTGTATATGAACAAAATTATTCTATTATTTATTTTCACTATTAAATTGTTATACAATACTATCATATGTTTATTTTCTTGAATTTACTTTTGAAAAATGGCATAACAGCGGAAGATGAACACAACAAAATTTAATGACTCATAAGACGCATAGCCATTGGTTAACATTACTTAACATTCAAAGTGAACCTAAAAATAGTCCAATCAAGAAAGCTGTTACAACCTAAGTGTATACCTACCAGCAGGTAATGTCTGTCCACTCGCAGTAGAACTGGACACACATCCTACACTATTACAAGATTCAATGTAAAATGTCTGTGTACTAAATGGTTCAAAGCCGCCAGCCAGATAACTGAACTCATCACCAGTAGCACTGTACAATAACTGAAAAACAAACATACTTGTATTAAACTTAATGTAATATTTCCTGACAATACCTACCATACTGACTCTATTAGTAGAGCATAAGATTATATTTAATGACAGAGATACCGTATGTCTCTTGTCAAAATAAGTTGTATGTTAATGATACAGTATACATTAAATGCAATATTTGATTTAATGTGCACTTTTATTAAGATGTAAATACAATAGAGTAAATATGGTAAATATTTTCACCATTGATGTTAACTTATAAAATGAGAACACTTATTTTTAGTTTTAAATTGGTTTAAAGATGAGAATAAAACATCAAAATCATTTCATTAAAATCAATTTTTGTATTTACATGGAAGACATTTTTAATCTGAGACTTTTCGAGGCTTGAAATTAGTGAAAAAGATTGATAACCCTTAATTTTTTTTGTATACATGCAAAATTTATTACATATCTGATAATTTTATAAAGTGAAGTGACAACATACCTGTGGAATCATTGGTGGACCAAATGGATCAGTGTTGGACATCATCCAATAGACATTATAGACAGTAATAAGACCTTGACTTTGATCATTACTTGGTTTCTGCCATGTAACACTTAGTGTACTACTTGACACAGTCAATATCACAGGAGTTGGCATTGATAAAGGTGCTGAGACACAAAAAAATAAAGGAAATAAGATAATGACAAATGACAAAGTAACAATCCAATTCTACAACATTGAGAGCCGTTACTGTTAGGAATTTCAATTGTCGTTTCTAGTAGCAACAAGAAATACTACTACATGCATTTACCTGCTTCTAGAGTAGTGGCAATACTCCAAGCACTTTCTGTAGAGCCGACTGAATTCCTAGATGCCACTTTGAATTCATACTGTGTGTAGGGTGACAGATCCTCAACTGTGTACTGTGTAGCTGGTGGGTCAACTGGATCATCTAGAGGACTCAGAGTAGGTCTTGGATTGTACCATCCAGCAGGAAAAAATATACGACTTTCCTCTGGGTCTCTGGTGCCATCAGGACCAAGGGCACCTCTCATGAATAACTCATAGTGTGTGATGACACCTGAAAATAAAATCACAGGATATCAAGATATATATTCAGGATATTATCATCATTTACTTGGTACTGACACCAATATCACTTTTCTGAACTTTTAATTAATTTCACACACAAAGCAAAAACGACTTACCATTAGGTGCCATTGGAGGTTGCCACAACACAAATATTTCAGTAGAGCTTAATGGCGTAGCTATCGGTGGCAGTTGCATTTGAGGAGCTGCTTGTGGTGTGATGACTATCACCGGTACACCAGTACCACATCCACTGTCAATGCAGACAGTCAATGTGAAGGTATAATTGGTGAACGGGATAAGTGTTGATACCTGCACGTAGGTATTTAGACCGTTGTAATATTCAACGGGGAAATCAGGCTCGCTAAGTGAAACTGAGCTCAGTGTATAACTTAAGATTGGACCATTTACATCTAAAAAGCAAGACAAAGAATATGACAAATATTAATTACGGTACTGGTAATTAATACTCTTGTATATAGTACATGTTAACTTTAACTTGAATCTAAGTTTGTGACATTCCCAGATATTTACATACAAAATTGAGGATATCCGTGCTTGTTTTAGTTGTCTACAAAGAAATCAACTTGAAAATGGTGAATATTGCCTTCTCAATTCAAAGTTGTTGTCTACGCACTACTGCCTATTTTTGACATCTATCCATATTGAATAAAACAAAGCAAGATAAGTTTATGGCATTTTCCCATACCAACAAATAGTGCATGAATATCAATAATTGGTGATTTTCACAAACCAACTGTTAACATTTCTTTAAGATGATGATATGCCATCAATTATGATAGGAGATGCAGTTTTGAAATCACATAACGAATTGTGAGATGATGACACAAGGTAAATTTTTAGAAATATGAATGCAAATGTTTAGTGTTCTTCTCTTGTTGTTTTACTCGAGTATCGTAAGTGTTTTTGCGTGGACTATGCATTTTGCATTTTCGAGAACAGTAATAATTTCAATCATTTTTGTTTAAGCAATTAAACTTTTCCAAGGTGAAGTATGATGTATACATGGAACTCATAGGATCTTCATCAAATATCAACCTACAGATATATGATAAATACATATTAATAATTTGGTAATAATATATAAAAATGTTTGTTTGCAAGCAATTGACAATGACATACCATTGGGTCTAGACCATGTAAAATCAGCTGATCTAGCTTGTATGTTACTGACAATCAGTATATCAAAACCATTAGGAATGTTATCAGGTGTTCTTGCTGTGACTGATGGACTCTGAGTTGAACCAGCGGTGTTGGCAGTCACAATATAGTAAATATACTCTGTGTATGGTTGGATATTCTGTGTATCTATGTATTCCTGGGTCACTGTAAAACAGAATACATCATATTTATTACTACAACATACAACTACAATTTATTTTTTAAAAAAGGAATTGCTATATAGTGTTAACGCATCACTTGCTGACAACATTAGCAATTCCAGTGTGTGAACGGCAAGTAATAGCAGGATAAGAAAGCTGTAACTACTAACGGTGAAGTTTGAGCAGCAAGATAAATAAATGTCCTACCAAGTGGGTCAGAATTCGTAATTCCTTGAAACAATAAGACATCATCTCTGAACAGACTGTAAGATTGTATAGCACCATTCGGTTCATCAGGTGGTTCCCATGTTAGCTTAATAGAATATGGACTCAATGCTTCCCAAGTAGGAGCTGGCTGTTGTGATGGAGCTGAAAAAAGATTTTACAGTTAGATTTATACAATGCTAGTGTAATTTCACCCCTGGGAATTATGTGCTATAATGTTGTTTGGGATTTCAATATTTGGAATTATTTACTTATTATTTACACATGATTAGAAAGAGTGCAGAGTTTCATTTGCATATGGCTTCCATACAGAAAGATGCAGTTTTATTTGCATATTAGGAAGAATGCAGAGTAACATTTGTGTTACTATGTAAAAAGAGTGCAGAGTTAAATTTGAATATGATTTGCATATTATGAAGAGTGCAGAGTTTAATTTACATACATGTATGATCTCCATACGTTTTCAAAAAATTAATCTTCATTGAAAATCATCAGATAAAAGTTGATGGTTTCGCTTACATTTTGTACAGCCATAAGGATTTCCAGCATCCAGATTGCTACTTCCTGGTATACAAGTATCACACTTGACTCCCATGACATACTGCTTACACTGACAGACACCAGAGTTGACATCACACCCTGTACCCACACTGCCAGCAATATTACAATTACATGAGGTACATCTATAAAAATTAAAAGAAAAAACACAGCAGGTTGTTAGAATACAATGACTTCACAAATTCACAAATATGTGAATAATTTGTCATGAGTCATTTGAATCGCCAATATAGAATTCAACATTTCCCAAATGATCAGCCATAATTAGCTGAACAACCCACACTTTGTTACAACCATGTTATTAATTAAATCAGCCATCAATATTTGTTTTAAGCTTATGATTATATACATAGCTATAAGATTACAATGATGTATCCAATTCGAAAGAATAAACTAGAACAGATACACAAAATATTAGAAAATTGAGGAATTGCTAAACTTTTTCAAGTTAAGTATTTATGAATCATACTTACGTCCCAGTTGCATCATTGAAATTATAATATCCAGTTAGACATGTGTTACACTGCCTTCCAGACACACCAGCACCATTACCTTTACATACACACTGCCCACCTGTACTGCTACATGTGGTGCCCGGTAGTGTGGCTATCGGATGACAGGCACACAGCAAGCAACCACGGCCATTGTTATCGGGTAAATAATAACCTGAAAAATGAGCAAGGACAGCACAAAGTGACAAAACAATGTCATTAGTTATGAAAATATGAAATATAACATATCTTATTGCAATGGCAACACAGAAAACCAAAGAGTAAAATAATCTTACCTGAACTACAGCTATTACACTGTCTTCCTTCTCGACCAGTCAAACATGCACATTGTCCACTGTTTTGATCACATACCAGATCAGTGGGTGACACCTGATCACCAAATAAAGTACCTACAAAACAAAATACCGTAATACTAATTACATTACATCAGTGAACATCTTATTAGTGATCTAGTCCAAGAAATGGTAAAATGCAATAGCTATTAGTAAATAATATACTGCCTGGCCAATGTTAAGCACAAACTAAAAAGCTTGAAAGATAATAATTAGCATATAATTTGCATAATTAACATGGTGGAAGTCATCAAAAGTCTATGAGACCATATATTAAAATGTGGAGTACTTAAAACTATTGTATTTTTATCTCAAAAATCATTAAGAGTCTTAGCATATTTTGGGGTTTAGTACCCAATCTCTGCTTTTCATACCTGATGCATCACAGTTACACGCCTGGCAACCATCAGGATTAGACACACTCAATCCCCAGCTATTACCCTGGCACTGATTACATGTCATTCCCTGTACCAGTGGTTTACATGGACACTGGGCAGTTGATTTATCACACACAGTGGATCCAGCCAATGTACCATCAGTATTACAACCACATGGCATGCAGCCATCACCATTGCTGCTCAGTAGACTGTGGTAGTCATCTTTACATTCGTTACATTTAGTACCCTGTTGGGATACAAATATAAATTGATAAGTAATAACAACGACAAGGTCATAAGATCCTATATGTATTTTGCGCCCAGTGAATCATTTCAATTCATAATAAACAAAAACAAAATCACATGATTTTATTTATATGTAAACTCAATCTAATCACAAAGTGCAAAGTTGAATTATATTAGACTGTTGTTTTATCTGTATGGATGGCACACAAGAGATATAAACACTTTGAAGCCAATCCAGACAGACACATTAGCTCAACCATGAATTGTACTCACCTGTACATTAGCTTTACAAACACACTGTCCAGTAACTTGGTCACATGTTATACCAGGCAGACTCCCACTAGGATCACAATCACATGGCTTACAACCACCACTATCCAATCCATAGTAATTATCTTTACATGAATTACACTGTAATCCCATGGTTGTTAGTTGACATTGACATTGACCACTCACTGGATCACAGTATTGACTGGTAGAACCAAATGGGTCACAGTTACACGGGTCACAGCCAAGTGGGTTATTAATATCCAGGTTTTTGTAACCATAGTTACACTGATTGCAGTTAATTCCTGTAAAAAGAAAATTATTAGAGACACATCACAATTTTAACAAGTATTTCAATAAATAAAATACTACTGTAGATGGTGCATAGAAGTATACACAACCCAAAAATTGCATTTATTGTGCGCAGAATCATAAAAATATAACTTTTACTTATTTTTATCATTGACACATCTATGTCATTTATGTAAGTGTATACACTACTAATAGAGCAAATACAGTATCTAAACTTTCCCATGACTTACCTATAACATTGGTTTTACAAACACAGTCACCAGTATTCTGCTGACATGAACCAGATCCAATAGAGCCTGCTGGACTACACACACAAGATGAACATCCATTAACATTGGAGGACTGAAGATTATAATATCCAGTCTTACAAGTGTCGCACTGACGACCGGTAACGTACAGTTTGCAGTTACACTGCCCTCCCACCTGAAATCAACAGAATATGAAATATGAAATTGAACTATGGTTTTTATAAGATATTCATATACAAGGGTGTGATATGTGATTAATATTTAATATGAATTTATGAATTTAATTTAAACACAAATACTACACCTACATTTGTGAAAATACTTATGCAAATTACTTTTTGTTTTAGAATGAAATAATAGTCTCGCTCATTGCTGTTGACGCAATCAAACATTTCTAAGCTCCCACTGCGTTCTGCCATACTATTGGTTAGAACTATGTTTGATTAATGTGCATGGAATACAATCACTCTCAAATGCTTACAAAGCGCTTAAGTTCATTGCTTGTGAGATCTTTATTGCATACATGGTTATGAAAGTTGCAAATCTTACTTTTATAGATTCTTGGTTGAATTTAATATATAAACTAGTAAAATGTCATATAAACCAATCATAATTAATGTTAGGACATACAAGATGGGTTTTTATTGTCAAAATTTGATGAAATATTTTTTTCGTAAGGCACTTAATAATAGCTTTCAAAAAAGTCTGTATAATGAAACAATAGAGGAAGGTTGAAAAAATGAAGGCTGCATACCTTAGCACAATCTCCACCGTCAACTACACCAGCAATATTACAGCTGCATGCTGAACACACGTCTATCGCATCAAGTGACTTCCCTAGTTCTCGGTAATAATTCGTCTTACACTGATCGCATCGATTACCAGCAGTGTTATGTTGACAGTTAGTGCAGACGCCACCACCACCTCGGTTATGATCATTAGGAAACGGATCTTCAGATTCAATATAAGAACAACTTGTTGCATGTCCATAACACTCACACGGTTTGCAGTTGTAAGCATTGACTTGGTCTCCATAACGAAATGGTTTGTCATTGTATAGCGGTTTACAACGTTCACACTAAAAAAAATAATACACAAAATATTTAGAAAAACATTGTTTTGCAGCTATCGTTCACACTCCATCTCAATTTCCAATGACCAGGTTTCATGACTTGATGGTCACATTTTTGGAGTTTCGAAAGCTTATTTCAGTATCGCAACATCAGGATTCATCCTGAGTGAATAACAGACCATGTTGCATACGTTCGCCATGCACTCTGAAATTAATGCGAGTTTTCTCACAAAAGCATGAACAAACTACAATACCAATCACAAGTTTTTACACGCATATTTTAATAAATTTCATCAATGCCCTGTAAAAACACTTGGGCTTATACTCTGGGATGCCCTCAACACTATAAATCTCTAAAAATTGAGGGGTGGGCTTATACTCTGGGAGGGGCTTATGATCAGGAAAGTACAGTATATTTATCTTATATTCTAAATGTATTCATCTGTGGATAAGCAAACTTGTTGTATATAATTAAGGAATTAGGCCACTACAAACAAGTACCCGGGGTAATGTCACTGTAATTCCATACACAATTCAGGTATTAGAAAGGTCAAAGGTATCACCATACTCAGTCACATTCAATATATGGAAGATAAACGTCTGTTCTAAATGACAACTGCAATACACTGAATGAAGGTCAAAACAGAAAAATCATTTTCATCCAAACACTATCTTGTACCTATGCTTGCTTAACTTAGGTGAAAAAGATTCAAAATTATGTACAGAATTCCTTAAAATTATCATTTTGCTATAAGCTAAATAAAAATTACAATGACTGATGGATTAATGATGTTTATTAGCATAAAATGGTATCCCATGATTCCATGGTGTGCTCCCAGGGACTGATAGCTTCCCCTTTATAAAACTATGTACCAGTAAAACACCAGAAACAGAAATTCATCCCCTTTGTCTGTGCTGTCTATAATCTGGATTTGACTTTCATTGAAACACCATAGTGCATTAACATTCCTTAGAGGGGATGTATCAGTAGCCATATAATAATTATGTAATATTAATCGTGACATAAAAAGACTAATGTGAACAGAAAACTAGGCTTAAACACAAGCACTTTATAATAGTGACCATTCACAATGTAAGTAAATTGGGGTTCTAAACTGCATTCTCACATTACAGGTGCTTATTTAATTACCATGCACAACTAATGTCAGTGTTATGCTTTCTAGAGTGAGAACATGATAAAGACAGTTTGTAAAATATTTCATCAGACCCTTGACTTGACGTATGTGAGATGTTCCCCTAGTATGACATATCCCCCCCTGATAAGAGTGATATATGATCGGTGACAGCTGGTTATGAACGGCACATGGAGTTTACCGGTAATCCCATGAACCAGCCTCATGATTACATATGTTACAAGTTAGAATAATTAAAACTTTGCATTCACTATGAATCAATACAGAAAATGTAATTATTTATGATCTTGGTATTATTTTTTATCATCTAAACTAGCATTGTTGTTATTTAAAAATAAAAAAAAAAAAATATTTTTCTAACCAAGATGAAATTTCTTTTATATACCGGTATATATTTGAAATTAGAAATAACAATAACTGACAATTTACTTTTAGTTTTATATGTATTGTACTTTATTACTAACATTTTATTGCTGTCAACCAATGGAAACTATTTCTAAGGATGCAATAAATTCATTATTATTATATTATTATATATTAAGTGTTTTCTGAGTATCTATTTTTGGTTCAACTTACCATAGTTCCCTCGGTATAACTGTCTGCCAAGCAATCACATTGGTAGGGGTTTGTGCTCATATCGCATGTACTGCCGTGTCCATGACAATTACACCTGTCAACAATCATGTATAATACGTCAGTAAAAAAAAATTTATAAGAGTGATTGTATACAGTATAGCACACAAAATCATAAGTTTATATATGGAATGTTTTTCTGCAGTATTATATAGGAAATGAACCTATTAAAACTATTTCTGGTGATTTTTTTGTGTCTTTCCACATTATTGAAAAAAAAGTCTTTTTCAAATAAGTACCGGGTAAAAAGAAGAAAAAACAATAACACTGTGAAATTAGAACCACTGCAAATGTTTTGATGTGTTTACATCAAGCAATCAGACAATACTTTCTGAATAAAAGCCTCAAACAAAAGATACAGAGCTTCAAAGTCGAGGCATATCATGTTGCATTGCACGTCCTCAGTTGGCCAGACGGGAAATTGCGTAAATGTTTAGATGGTCTTCTGTCATTTTTTTTGTGGAGAATGTAGAATGGCGAAATGAAGTAATACAACCTAGTCTTAATACACAAATAATTTGTCAATGCTATTCACACTTGACAAATTCAATAATTAAAATGAAACTTTGTTGAGTATATTTATTTCCAATGTCTTGTATCAAACAACAATACACTGCCCTTAAATCAAAATTAATTAGCAATCTCAAAGTTTAAATCATCAGTTTTGTCCATCCTGCATTTCAGTTTATTTTCAGTGTTTTGACGAGTTGAATGTAAAATTATAGGAACAAAGGTATATTCGCTGGATTTTATTTCCACTGAATCATCCCTACAGCAAAACAAGCTAAAATGTAAATTACAAAACTGTTTGATAGGTCAAAATAAGTGACATTTCAATGATTCAGTATAAAACAAACACAATTTTTATTTTAAATGCGTTTCTATTTCAGATGTGCTTTTAATGGAACAATGTGTTGTATGCATAGCAACATGGCATGATAATTGTGAGGACTTGATATAAACAAATTGACCTCTTACAAGATTAATGAAAATAACTTACCTCGCACTGACAGTAATTTCTTCTATTCCAAAATAGTTATGTCTGGGATTGGTCACATAGTAATGTCCTTGCAGTCGTAGTCTAATCTGCGTAGCTTTGACAAACTCTAACAGTTCTGGAGTATTATAGAAATCATTGTATCCGGGACGAGCCACTGGTTCTGGTGCAAGTAGCTGAAAGGTGATGTTACCTTTGGAATATGGGATCTGATCATCTGCAGTACTGGCAAGTAGAAATTAATATGAAAATTGATGTTACAAACAGAAATAACATTTTCAGAACATATCTTTCCATAGTTATATACAATGTACATATATTAATTAATCAAATTTTTTATTTTTCCAGGACACTAATGAAATACGTAAACATGAATCTAACCAGTATAATGTTGACATACTCTGTTATATTGATCTATATGATTCATATCACAAACTAACACATGTCAAATTATTCTGTACTTGGCATTTGATGGTCATGAAAAATATCTAGGAACGAACATGAAATTCAGTATACAGGTTGTTAAATTTGTTCATCGCTGTTGACGACTAGACCCAATCATCAAACAAAGAGTTATCATAGTTATTGTTATCTTTTTATTGTTAATTTCAGATGCCCAGTTTCAAAGGTACAAAAACTGTGGCATAAAACACACACATTTTGGGGAACTACAACTTTAGCATTTAGTGTTTGTGAAATGCAATATCTGGTATAAATTTGATGAAAAAAGTCCTCGCAATGATGGTTTTCATGTTGCAATAACACAAGAAAGTGCTACTATATTGTGCGCACCATGAAGGTGAGAGTGATCAGTAAAGTAGGAATCGTCATAATAAATAATTAAATAAAACACAATCATAGAACATCTGAGAAATATTTGGCATGAAAACATTTTTCACATTTTAATTTCTGCAATTTTTCATCACTTGCTTTTCATGAATGTTAACACGTAACCCATAGAGACAAGTCACATGATTTATACCAACCAATAGTAATGTACGCATGCATATAGATACAATTTCACTTTATACATACCCTGTAAACTGCAAACAATTTACTGATGTAGACTGCAGTAATGGTCCATCATTGGGAAGACCAAACTGAGATAAACAGTCTTGCGCTAAATACTGCCAGTCTTCCCATGACAACGCATCACTCTTCTTCCTTTGTATCGTTAACGCCGTAGGCTGTGGACTGTAAAACTGTAGTACTACATAGAATACCTACAATGAAATAGACATTGTTTACATTTTAGGAAACTCTTTGATTTGATAAGTTTATATCAAATCAAGCTCACAAGGTTTAAATATTATTCAAAATTTTCACAACTATGAATAAATTTTTTGTTATCCCATTAATACTTTTATTAGATATTACCATCAGCAAATACCTGTTATGTAATAGTAATTTTAGACAGCACTTTTCAAATATGATATAAGGTCCAATAATTATTTACCTGGTACTGTCCATTATTCAGGTCAATAACAATAGTGATGTCATCAAGAAAAGCTGATATCCAGTAACTGCTAAGATCCCCATCGTTGGCGAATGTTAACGGATGTGCAAACTGATTAACTCGCCATTCAGCATTGCTTGTGGTATCAGGTTCATCGTTCTTGATGCAGAAACGTGAATCAGTAGGATTGACCCTTGGATGGCTGTCTGGACAACGACATTCAGACTGCACATGGACAGATAACCAAGTACCGGTGGCAATAAAGTGAATCTCTCTGTTTGTTAATGTCAGGCTATAGAATTGAAATTCTTGCATTCGACCAATGTATTGAGAGGCACCTGTAATAAAAGTGAGTGAAATCCATGAACACATTCTGAATTTAAAAAATTATAGAAAACCATTACATTGTATGTCATGGATTACGATGTAACTATGACTACAGACATATGCACCATGTATCTATGACCATATGAAATTACCCAATTGTTCTACTTTTAAAATTTTCTTAAAATAATCCATCTTGAAATATGACCATTTATTTAAATTAACTTGACATACACTTTAAAAGTGAAAGCACACATTATGTGTACGGATATCGACACAACACCAGCATGAATTGAAATGTATCATTATATCAATTTCTCTCTACATTGATCACATCAGAATAAACGGGGTGGAGTTCTGTATATTCATTCACCGATTAAAGTTTTTCTACTCATGTTCATTTCCTCTATTATGATGCGTATGATCTATGATTGTCGTTGACTTTACACGGTGTAAAATAAATAGGGTCAAATAACTTGTAAAGAATAGAATGCACAATGGTTTCTCTCAAGTCATGTCTATTCTTGTTTCACACAATACATAACAATACATGTATTGTTGAGCTCAATGAAGCAGAAAGAACTCCAACTACAGGATACTGGCTCATTCAGTACATGTATACAATATGCCAACAGACAGCACAGCAAGTGTTTGAGGAGAGTTGAAATATCAAGTAACATAAAGTAGTCCAAGTTACTAATATTTGTTGTATGAACTTTTCACAAGTATATATTTTAATGTTTTAAAAAAAAATCGGGGTCCCCATCCCTGACTTGCAACTGGAGAGCCAATTTATGACTCTGTATGCACAAAATGCACACAAAATAATTAAATAACGAAAGTCCAATTTTTGAAAATGTTATGAAATTAACTTAATTAATAGAACATTTCCAGACTATAATACTGCATTTGCTCTATTAGTACAAGTAGTGTATATGAATACAAAAATGACAGAGCTGTGCATGTACATGCAATTTTTGCCTTATGTGAGCTTTTATTAAAAATGCGCATGTATTGGGTAATAGAGAAAATACAGCATATAAAATGGTTGCCATTTAACATAATACATAATGATAGACATAGATGTTATCCTGTTTCCATGGAAACAAGACCATCTTTCCTCAAATTATACACTTCATTGGTACAATCTGGTATAATCTGTAAAATACTAAAAAAGCTGTTTTTACTTCCCTCTACATCAATTTGGAGCAGAATCCCTTTTTTTATGAAAAATTCCTTTGATATGTTTTAAAACAATGTAAAAAAAAAAAATTCTATTTGGTGTAATTGTTCTTATATTATATTTATTGGTCTGTAATGTGGAGGTATAGAATGGTTAAGTAAACATTTTCCATAGAGTCTATAAGAGAAATAATAATATAATAATAAATAACCATGTGCATTTTACCCAAGAAAAGTGGTTTTACACTGTACCATGTTAAGTGACAGATAATCACCACAAACTGACATTGTTCAACATATTATCATACAGCACTATGAATGCACCATGTCATGGGGACATATGCATATAGAGACGGCGACACCCACATCTGTTGCCCAGCGTGATGCGTAGTTTGAATAATCGGGTAATCTCATGAGTGTATAATTCCATATGAAGGACCACAATGAAAGCGTAGGCAACCGTGAACATAAACATGAAAACAATTACACTTGGTGACAAACCAATTTATCTCTCTCCAAAAGAATTACCCAAATATGTGCACATCATGAACTTACAGAGATTATTTGAAAAACTCATTCACATCAATTCATCTATCAATTGTTAAAAACTGTGGACGATTTACATGACAATACGGTATGTTAATTATATTGAACTTGTTTATTAAAATTATAGTTTTAAATATCATGCTTGGTTTATATTCACTTATTTCACTGATAGTTAAAACAGTGAATACTTAAATTTAACATTATCGTTTTATTCAAACCCCAAGTTAATATCTCAGCAACATCAAATCCACGAAAATTAAATAAAGTGAACATTTCTCTTTGTACAGTAGTCACACTATGATACTACAAAGAAATATCTATAGAGAACACTGAATTATCACACGTTATCAATGTGATATTTTCAACATTTTTAAATCAACAGCTTATAATATGCTTATAATAGAGCTTTACTTCAACCATGATATAGAATATAAGTAATCATTTTGAATGAAAAATTCAGCATGTGACAGTCAGAGATACAATTATCACTTTACAACAGCAGGTTATTTTATTAAATTAGGCTATCGTTGAACATCGAATTATATTCAAAATTGAACTATTATTTTTTTTTAAATTGTATCTTTTTACAGGCAAATATGATTGACAGTAATCCAATGCATGAAGAGAGGAAACTAATGGTGTATCAGATATTCAGTCAAAACAAAGAATTTCTCCCTATTTGTATACTAGAATAAATGACAAACAGAAGAATGATCACATTATACTTGCTATTTATAAATCAATAATAGAAAGGAAGGTACTATAGTGATAAAAATAACCAGTCTATATGTTGTAAGTACAGTGTACAGATAATCATGATGTCTTCTTGAATCCAAGCTTGAAATCATAAAACAATATCAGTAAGAGTTTTGTTATTATATTTTCAAGTGTTCTAAATTATGGCATACTAGAAAGGACGATGAGTAGAGATATATTGTTGCTATTCTATCTGTCCAACAACAATAAAAAACTAATCCAAATAAAAATGAAGTATAATGCAGCTGAAAGTTTGGAAATAATACCAAATTAAAACAACAACTGCCAGAATACAGAAAACACCAAATGCTCTTGGACATGTATAAATGCAAGCACAGAGGTCAATCCACGACTGATGCAGACTAAATGACATCATAGAGGTCAATAGGTGAATGAATGACATCATAGAGGTCAATCGGCGAATGAGTGACATCATAGAGGTCAATAGGTCATTGAACTACAACATGTCTCGCAATGATATGTGTTATCAGTTGTAAATACACAATGACACATACATTGGGTGTGGCATTCAATAATTTGTATGTATGCCACCACATTTACTCACCAGTCAGCGTTTTATACTACCACCACAGATTTTTTTATAGGTCAATCCAACCACTTAATGCCCAACAAATTTACGAAAATACCGATTATTATGCAAAACCTGACACCAATCACTTCTGTAAGTATAAATTGAATTATGATCTGGGGAAAAGACGATCATATAATTAATGAAATTTTCTTCCTAGCAAATGAAAAGCATTACCGGTAATACACTAATTGTTCATAATTACAAATTAAATATACAAATCAGTAACCATACTTGAAAGTTCAGCTTGGGAGAACAATTATAAATTCATGTAATACTAACCATTCAATCTTTGTCCAACTCTAATGGTGGCACTATTGGAATCTACGATAGGTCCCATCAAAGTCTGTGTATCGTAAGGACTTCCATCGGATTCAAGACCATTGATGAAAACACTGATTTTAGCATCATAAATCTAGATAACAAGAAAACAATAATTACAGGACCAGTAGATGCAGTGTTATTTGGGAATGAAAGCAGTGAATTACAAAATGCGGTGACCTCATAGATGGGTAAGCTTTGCAGTGTCTGATCAATAATTTTGACGCAATTCACCTACACTTACCCTAGTCTTGTTCTATAAGGATAATTTACACTGATCTATGCTGGTGTTAGATAATAACTTTATTCAGCTAACTTGGTATAATCTAACTATACTGCCCTAGCTAAAGAAAATTGATACAAACACAATGATTATTCAGTAATATATTTAGCACTTACCCCAAGCTATTGGAGGTGGTTATTTTCATTACAACATACATGTATATGCATTGCATAACAGAAAGAATCAAGAATGAAAAACTAACAAAAGTACACCAGTTTAAGAGCTCATTTAAAGGAAAATAACAGTTTTTGGTTGATTTTTACCAACACCCATTTACTGAATTGTAACAAACTGGCCTTTATTGAGTGGTTATTGCACATTTTACATACAGTGCAGTTCGAGCATAACACTTTAATAGCTAGCTTTAGGATGGCTCAAAGCTTCTCAGACTCAAAGCTGTCATTGTGTAGAGTAATCTGCCAAAATATGTCTCATATTAATGACATAGGTAAAAACTACAAAGAATAAGTTGAAACTATTCATGACACTGATATTTAAAGACAAAGCAAAATGAGTTAATATCTAGCTTGGAAATTATCGGTATGCTAGGGGGTACTGCAGAACACCAGCAGTGCATATCGGTATGCTAAATCTAGACTGTACTGCAGAACACCAGCAGTGCATATCTCTCTTATCCATCATTCTGGGATTTTCATAAACATGCTCCACAAAAAAGTTGGTAGTATTACTGGTATTTTGTTACCAATCCAGTTTTGGTGAGGTTATTGACAAAGACTGACAAAATACAGTGAAACATTGACAAGATGTTGGGGTTTTCACATCTCATTTTTATTGTATAAAAGAACATTTTTGATAAAAACACAAATCACTATGATTTGCTCAAAGACAATGGGATAATGACTTGTTCAGTACCAATCTAATCTTAACCATGAATTCTACCCAAGTAGAGAGCTCTGAGGCAATATTTAATGCCATACCTGTATTGCCAAGTTCTGCCATGTACTCAGACTCAGACCTCTTGCTACTGTCAGAGTCTTCAGACCAGAGGCAGTTCTATAATCAAAGTTGATAGTTGTAGTTGACACCATGACAGCGAAGATAATCTCATTATTGGTCGTCTTCTTTTCAATGATTGTTCTATTGGAAAATAACAACAATTATTTTATTTGTCTCTTTGAATTGTTTCATTCAGTCATAGACCTTAGAGTCAGCCAGTCATTCTAAGATCTACATGTATGATTCAGTGAAATAAATTACAGTCAGATACCAATAATAGTTTAAATAACTGCTATTGACCAGGGAGTTATTAAGAAGCAGTGCCAACAATGTCATGCGTCAGAAAAACCACCTAATTTTGTTACAATGAAAATTGTACTGCACTTCTTCAGTGACTCAAATAGAACCTTTGTGAATATGCTACATAGAACCCAAATAGTTTCTATGTTAAAAAATCTTTGAAGTATATGTGGAAGCATTTCATCGAAAAAAAAAACTTTTTTTATTTTTTATCCTACATATGGTGCAAATATGAATCTGAATACCACTTAAAAAAAGCTGGTGACGCAGTGATCCATTACTCTTATTTGTAGATAATTTTTTTCTCATCATTTTCCTCCTGTTTTTTTATTATATTTGAAATGGTTGTATTTTACTTTTTCCTCATAAGATAAGTGAATAATTTTCTCAAGAAACAGACCTCATTTTTTTATTGTAATGCTAATAGTTTATACTAGAATAATCTCGCCTGAGAAAATTAGTAATGTGACATTGTAGTAAATATCCTGCATCCTGAAGTGAACAGGTCAGCTGAATATTAATATCAAATATTGTTGAGGGCATTTTAACAGGAAGCTGTATATATGTATATGGAATCAAATGTATGTGGTAGAGACCACATGTGATAGTGGTGTGCTGGAATGATGCAAACACAAAATTACAAGCCCTTGTGGTAATAAGAATTTGGACGATTTTCATTGAATATCAGCAATAATTTGATGAGATTTAGATCAAACAGGTGGTTCATTAAATCCATGTTTTACAAACTAGACTTGTTCATATTCACTTGATTTGCTTCTTTCATAACTTATTTGTGCAAGAATCAAAGTTAATTATGTTCAACTAAGTATATCAAAACAAGAATTACTAGTTCAGCAAACTGAAATACTCTGTTACAAGGAATTATAACAAAATGTTTCAATTAGAAATTCACTTCCTATGCAGAAGAATCATAATCTTAAAATGATCTTGTGATTTTCAGTCACAAATTTATTTATTTTCATTCACTTTCATGGCAATAAAAGTTCCTTAAAATAGCCCCAATAAATTTATAAATTGTGTTTACTATCGGAAAAAGATACATACCCAGTGGTAGGTGTGTCCAATCTCAACCAGACCGTCAGAGTAAAAGCTCCATTTGACCCGACAATGGGTATAACAGACGGTGTGATATAACACAGGGGGTTATTACGAAATAAATAGGATTGTGATCCAGGTGATGATCCGGGTCTAATACTGCTTGTATCTAACGTGACACAGGTGCCCGATGAACTCAACAACACGGCCGATGGCGATGGCGTCGATATCCTATGTGGACAATCCTGGAGGCAAATACCTTGCTGACAAACAGTCACATAAATTGCATTAACAGAACTTCTACAGTACGCACTACGCACTGATGAACCGTCGGCTAAGTATCCACAGTTTCCTTGATCAGGGATTGTTGAGATAGGTTTTTGTCGTCCTGCGTTGATCAGCTGTGGGAATGAACCCTGTGCACTACATTGGATAAAAATTGTAGCCATGGAACACAACGCTACGAGTAGTAATTTATTTGAATGCATTTTTAGATAGATCCGAATTATCATTGTGATTAGAGTCGTTTAATTCCTAAAAATGCTATACCAGCTGATATGTGCGATAACTTTCACTCTTACCGCTATTGTGTACAGGACGCCATATTTGTTGTGTACATTTCACCGTACGCGTAAACGTGCTTATTGTTTCACTCTTCGCTTCCACAATGTCGCACAAATATTTACAAGTGGTTAAAAATGCAGACTTTCAAACAAGTATTGCCAATATCAGAATGACTGCAAGCAGACAGTGATCGGCGTTGCAACCAGAGAACAGCAAGCAAGCTGCAGTTGTCCAGACAGAGTCGCGCAAATGGTTACCGGTAATCGCCGCAAATGTTTGGCTCCAGTACAAACGACGTAATATCCACAAATTCTAAAACGAAACGTACTCGGCAATTGTGTTATACTTTGTGGACCTCAACACGATATCTCTGGTCTGCACTGAATCAAAATACCATACAATTTGAATTCAAATAGACGAAGGACACGGAAGGCTTTCCCCGTTTGTAAACGGCCTCGCTTTCATAAATGGACACACGCCCAATAACAATAGAAAAGGAGTGAGTCGCCAATTCCCCCTTGGGGAAAAGATATTCGCGTGATGTTTTTTTTTTTTACGCTCGACTCTGTTCATTGCCAAGTTTAACTTTTATTTTAAAAACAAAACCTTGATCATAATTTGTAATGATTCACAATTATACACTAAATGTTGTGACTGTTAGTAGCTATACAACACAATACTGAATATAAAACGGCGGGGTTATCCTAGTAAAAGTAATAGCAAGGTCGACGGTAACAATGACTCACTTGGGTCCATTTCGCGTAAGTATACCGGTAGACAAGAAGATACTAGTAGTTGCGAAAGTCGTTAACGATATTGCTATTGTCTCGTACGCGTGTCAATATGATTACCATGACCTCACGCCCGGGCTCTAGCTGAAACGTGTTATGACTATGGGCAATAGTATAGTAAAAATGCTCCCAAAATTATGATACGAGTAAGACAGAGGATGTATGAACCATAAGCTGTGTGGTCTTTAATTATATATGACTGAATTTCTAGATCAAATTTAAGATGTCTGTGTTGAAACAACTAATTTGAAAGATTGTTGTCATGGATGGAACATCTTAGCACAGTCCCTCTATGATAGAGGGACACATACTGTAATACCATATATCCAGGCCACTGTACATATACCCAATTTGAAGGCCCAGTCTATCCAATGAACCTTGTGATTCATTTGGTGGACTACTACTTGAGGCTACTGAAATACTGAAACAATCATTAAAATTGAGAGTAACAACGACTATGGTAGGGTCTATGCAATGACTTTGAATGAAATATACATTATCAACATTTGACGCAATTTCAGTGTATATGTACAGACAACAATGGTGTTGTACAGTATTGTAGAATACATTTTTTAAATGCTCAAATTAACACAGCAAATATCGAAAACCGGACACAATTCCTGCTCGATGCTGTACAACTGTTTTAACCAGAAGCGCCCTCTCTGTCAGTATAATGTCAAATTTCTCAAGCATGATG